ATGCCTATATTGAGGAATGGACTCCAGCAATCTCTTGGGAATCGGCTGGGCGAGAAACTGTAACACAGACTGTTCCTTAAGCATATGGGACAGGTTTGTTCTTTGTCAAATTCTCAGTACCTATCAGGCACTCGAAGGAGCAGTGCTGAGTGAGGGAAGGCCTGGGTTATGGGATCTAAGAGTTAGAAGGCAGGTCAAAGGTCACCTGGCCCAGCCTTTTCTTTTTTACTTAAATTTCTCCTTTTAAAAAATATATTCTAATGATTTTTTACAGAGAGGAAGGGAGAGGAATAGAGAGTTAGAAACATCGACAAGAGAGAAACATCAATCAGTTGCCTCCTGCACACCTCCTACTGGGGATGTGCCCGCAACCAAGGTACATGCCCTTGACCAGAATCGAACCTGGGACTCTTCAGTCTGCAGGCCGACGCTCTATCCACTGAGCCAAACCGGTTAGGGCAGTCCAGCCTTTTCTTAACCCACTTTTCTAGAGAGAGGGTCTCCTTGCCCAGTGATTGGGCCTCAGACCTACCATCTGGCCCAGGCAGTGCCCACCAGTACCTCTGACTGTGGCCAGGCTGGGGCTGGCATGCCCAGGAGGCCCTGCCTCTGGGCACAATGACCTCAGTGGGGTGAGAAGAACTCCCCCCATGGCTGGGCTGCAACCCAGCCCCACCTCCTCAGGCTATGCCAGGGGGTGTTGCCAGGGACAATCTGGCCTGTGTCAAGACGGCCCCTTCCTTCATAAAGCCCTCGCATCCTAGGAGCCCGCAGAGCCAGGCCAGGATGGAGAGGAGACGGGTCACCTCAGCTGCCCGCCGCGCCTACGTTTCCTCCTCGGAGATGGTGGTGGGGGGCCTGACTCCCAGCCACCGCTTGGTTCCAGGCACCCGCTTCTCCCTGGCTCGAATGCCACCCCCGCTCCCGGCCCGGGTGGACTTCTCCTTGGCCGGGGCACTCAACACCGGCTTCAAGGAGACACGGGCCAGTGAGCGGGCAGAGATGATGGAGCTCAACGACCGCTTCGCCAGTTACATCGAGAAGGTGCGCTTCCTGGAACAGCAGAACAAGGCGCTGGCTGCGGAGCTGAACCAGCTGCGGGCCAAGGAGCCCACCAAGCTGGCTGACGTCTACCAGGCTGAGCTGCGCGAGCTGCGCCTGCGGCTCGATCACCTCACCGCCAACTGCGCCCGGCTCGAGGTCGAGAGGGACAATCTGGCGCAGGACCTGGGCACCCTGAGGCAGAAGTGAGGAGGGCGCCTGGGAGAGGGGCCTCATGAGCAGGGAGGACTGAGCCCCCAGGAGGAAGTGCCCGCGGGCCTGCGGAGACTCAAGCCGGCGGCTCTGCCTCCCTGCTCACTGGTTTCCACATCTCTGGGAAGGGAGGGCTGTCCTCGCTCCCCCAAATGATGGCAGGGACTGGGAGAAGGCTCAGGGCCTCAGGGATTTCGTTCCCCAAGACCTTCTGCCAGGAAAAAGGGCACGCTCAGCACCTGCCCCCTGGGGAAGTCTGTGCTAGAGCAGTCAGGGGCCCCAGCAGTTAGTTGTGTGTTTCATTCACTCTGGGGCCCTGTGACTGTGGGCGGGGAGCGCACCTATTCTGAGCCTGGTGCACAGAGAGAACACGGAAGGGAAGGTTGGTGTGCCCCAGGAGGACTGGGCCTGGGGGTAAAGGGAGGCGGGGAAAGAGCAGGAAAGCCTGGCTTCAGAACACAGGTGACTTGGTCTGTCACCAGCTTAGGATCCTAGGCAAGGCTTCAACTCGCACAGCTGTGAAGCAGAGGTCTTAATAACACCCATTTCCAAAGACCAGGGGGAACCCCAGGGGCTTGGTGCTTTGCTGAGCCAGCTGGGCATGCGTGTGTGCCCTCAAGTGCAGGAGGACGTGTGTGTGTGTGCCAGTAGCGGTGAGCGTGTGATGGTGGAAGCGCCTGTGTGAGCAGGAGCAGGTGCAGCAACCCTGATAAGGCACCTTAGTAATGAGTTACAGCCAAGGCCCTCAGCTGTTCACTTTCCTGGTCAAGGCTCTCCTTTGGCCCCTCCACTAGTCCTGGATTGGGGGGTGCTCTCTGGCAGCCACCTCCAGGGAGATTGGGGCCGGGGTCCAAGAGTCTTCAGAAGAGCATGGACCCAGGAGTGTGTCTCCCTACCCCAGGCTCCAGGATGAAACCAACCTGAGGCTGGAGGCCGAGAACAACCTGGCTGCCTATCGACAGGTCAGGGGGGTGGAGGGGTGGGGGGCAGGAGGCAGGAAAGGGTTGATGGCACCCACCCAAACACGGGCCCTGCCAGCCCTCCTGAGCAATGTGCTGCTCTCCCAGCCCCCGAAGGGGGTGGGGGCACAGACACAGCCAGGGAATGGGGAGAAAGAGTCTGGGGTCAGAGTGGCCCCTTGCCTCCTCCCTACTTTAGGAGGCAGATGAAGCCACTCTGGCCCGTCTGGATCTGGAGAGGAAGATTGAGTCTCTGGAGGAGGAAATCCAGTTCTTGAGGAAGATCCATGAGGAGGTAAAGCCCAACAGAGAGATTGGAGGGTGGGGGGCAGAGAGAGAGATTAAAAACAAAGAGAGAAATTGAGGAAGACAGAAATAGAGACAGACAAGAGAGCATCAACAGCCCTGGTAAAATGCACACAGATACACACTCCACTTATTGAGAATTACAAAAGTTTTGGGACCTCTTTTTCTCCACTATAGCCCTGTAGAAGGGACCTTTCAGTATAATCTCCTTTTCACAGGGGACATTGAAGCCCAAAGAGGTTAGAGCACTTGCTAAACTCACACAGTCTCTCTGACTCCATTCATTCTGCCATCTGTCTCCATTTAACCGAGAACCATTCATAACGAAAAGGATCCCAGTTAGCTCTGACCTCAGATCATGGATTCAGCATCCATGACCCCATGGAACCTGGGAGCCCACGGGCACACACACATAGGAACTCAAACACTCTCTCATAATGACACGGGTACACTTTCCGTCTCCTGCCTGTCCAGGCCTGGGGAGAGGACACCATGAGGCCCCAAAAACTCCCTGCCTCCTCTAGCCTGGGCCATGCTCTTCCTCCAACTAGGGCTGTTCCATTTCCCTTAGCCATCACTGATGTCTGACAGGCAGGCAGAAGAGGGCAATCAGAAAACCCCAACTGCGGCCTGGGCTCTGAGCCCTGCTATCCCTTCTCTCTCCTGGTCAGGAGGTGCGGGAGCTCCAGGGGCAGCTGGCCCGGCAGCAGGTCCATGTGGAGCTGGATGTGGCCAAGCCAGACCTCACAGCGGCCCTGAGAGAGATCCGCACCCAGTATGAGGCAGTGGCATCCAGCAACATGCACGAGGCAGAGGAGTGGTACCGGTCCAAGGTAACCCTGATTGTGGGCCAGCCTGCCTCCTCCAGGCAGCCCTCCTGGCTCCATGCAAGACACTCAGGGAAGCTGGGAGAGGATCCTCTCTGGTGACTGCCATTCACCAGACAAGTGAGGTGACTTGCCCAGAGACACACAGGCAATATTACTTCTAATAAGAACTTATTGCTACTATTACTATTATTATTTGACAACACTGTTGTGTGTCAGGCCTTGTGCTTTGCACAGATTATCTTACTATGAAGTAGGTACTGTTCTTTGATAGATGAGAAAACTGAAGTCCAGAAAGGGTAACTAATTTGCCCAAAGTCCACAGCTTCAAAGTGGTAGAGCTAGCTACCCTAGCCAGCTCACTTGGGAGCCTGCATTCTTGATGCCTCTGCCATCTGTGTCTGGGATTATTGAGCATTTGCTGCATGCCAGGCACTGCCCAGGCTACAGAGACATGTCTGGCCAGGAAGGTGTGATGTGCACCCGAGTATGGTGTCTTATGGACAACACTGCAGGGCAGAGTCTATATACAATGTGGGGACCAGGGAAGGTATCATGGAAGGGAGGGCAGTTGGCCTAAGCAGGACCGGCAGGCCATGAAGAGAAGAGGGAAGGGGCATTCCGAGTGCAGGACAGAGTATGTGAGGGGCCTGGAGGCAGAAGGGCACAGAGAGGTGGGGCCCGGAGATGCTGGCCCAGGGCACAGAGCTGAGCAGTGTGAGTGGCAGAAGCCAATGATGGTTCTGAGCAGACTGCGGCCTGATGGAGCCCGAGGGCTTCGCTGCCAGCTGTGGGAGGGAGGGCCATTAGAACCCATTACTGTCCAGGTGGGGAAACAGGGTTCAGGCCTGTAGATGGAGGTGCCAGTGCAGGAGATTCTGGGTTCTGTGGCAGTCCTGCTCATTCATTCATTCATTCATTCATTCCCCAACCAGGCATCGTGCTAGGTGCTGAAGACGCAGCAGTGGCTTCTGGTCTGCTACCCATGGGTCACGGCCTCTGGGAATAATCCCACCCAGGGCCAGTGTCCTGGGGCGACCGAGACCACAGCCCTGGGGTCCTGCCCAGCTCCCTGATTTCCCAGAGACCGTGCCTTCCCAGGGCCCACACAGCTCCCCACCTGCGGCTGCCACCCGCCCTTCAGCTTAGGGCCCTCTTCCCCATCTAGTTTGCGGACCTGACGGACGCTGCTGCCCGCAACGCGGAGCTGCTCCGCCGGGCCAAGCATGAGGCCAACGACTACCGGCACCAGCTGCAGGTGTTGACCTGCGACCTGGAGTCCTTGCGCGGCACGGTGAGCGGGCGCAGGAGGCCGGTGGACGGAGTCAGAGAACTGAGGCTGGCGAGCGGGAGGAGGGGACCTGCCACCCCCGGAGATGCTAGAGGAGAGGGGCCAAGCAAAGGTGGGACCAGGACGGGGGGCGGGGCCAGAGCGAAGGTGGGGCGGGGCCTCAAAGGCCTCCCCAGCTGGTCCCATCCAAGGGCGAGAGGGTGCCTCGAGGGACCGGCTGGCTTCCACCCTTCAGAACCAGTCCCTGGAGAGGCAGATGCGGGAGCAGGAGGAGCGTCATGCGCGGGAGGTAGCGAGTTACCAGGAGACCCTGGCCCGGCTGGAGGAGGAGGGGCAGACCCTCAAGGACGAGATGGCCCGGCACCTGCAGGAGTACCAGGACCTGCTCAACATCAAGCTGGCCCTGGACATGGAGATTGCCACCTACAGGAAGCTGCTGGAGGGCGAGGAGAACCGGTGAGCCTGTCCAGCCCCCTCCTAACCCAGTGCCCAGCACAGTGCTCCATTACACACAGTAGGCATTCAACAAATGTTTGATGAATGAGTGAATGGGATCAGCTCAACCGATGTTAATTAGTTCCCAGGGCAAGGACTTAAACTAAAAGGCTCATCCCGCCACCCTCCCAACAATAGTTGGGCTTCTTTTCCCCTGACCTGTCTCTTGTGCCTCCTCAGAGCTGTCTTTGCCCTCCCCTCTGCCTCCTCCAAGTCCCCATCTTCCATAACATCCGAGCCCCTTGCAGACTCTTGGAGCCCCATGGAGCATGTTGGCTGCTGAGGAAAATTAGGAAATGCGCTCCTGGAGGCTGTCATGATGACCCTGAGTCAGGGCCTGGCCTGGGATGTCCTTGGGCGTCCTGGTCACTGCTCACCCTCTGCTGTCTTCCAGCATCACCATTCCTGTGCAGACCTTCTCCAACCTGCAGATCCGAGGTCAGTAGAGCAGGCCGAGGGGCCAGGGTATTGGGTTAATGCCCCTCCCCCAGGCCTGTGGGCTGCTGCTCTGGCCTGGGGCTGAGAACCTGGGTAAAAGGGTCCGGGGCGCTCCTTGGGGGCCTTCATGATTCACCGTGGAGTTTCTGGCCAGAACACACCATCCCAGGGCATCTTAGGTGGGGCTCGCAGCCACTCCTGTCCTGCTCTGCCCTGTGTGCCCCTTTCATCCCTGCACCCCATTCCCTACAGAATTGGGTGAGGGTCTCATCCTGTCCTGTCTGCAGATCCCTGAACACTTGCAGATCCTCTGCCCATCTGAGTGTTTTATGTTTTTGTTTCTTCAACTGCTTGTCACTACAGGGGGCAAAAGCACCACAGAAGGGGAAGGTCACAAGGTCACAAGACATCTCAAAAGCCTCACAGTACAAGTTATACCAATTCAGGCTCACCAGATTGTAAACGGAGCCCCGCCGGCTCTCGGTTAGCTGCCTGCCTCTCAGACACGGTGCCTTTCCCCACTCGGCAGGGAGGGAGCCTCAGCAAGTCCATGTTCCCCATCCTCCTGGGCTCCCTCCCCCCAGGTTTCCCTAAAGGGCCAGCCTGTGCCATCTTCCCAGCAACCTCAGTGCCCAGCTCACGACCTGGCACAGGGTAAATGTAGGTTAGGACCTGGCACAGGGTAAATGTAGGTTAGGACCTGGCACAGGGTAAATATAGGTGAAACTAGCAGACCCGCTGGTGTTCGGGGTGATATGTCCTCAGGTGCTCAGAGGAGATGCTCTGGGGCCTCTGAGCAAACGCCAGCCTCCTCCTCGCTCCTTCCCCATCTGAGAGGGCCCCTAGGGCCTCTGTGCCCAGTGGCGAGCTCTCTGCTTGAGTCGTCGGTCCCCGAGGCTCCGTTGCTCAGCTCGATGCTGATTCAGCCCTGAGGATTATTTCCCCCTGGACCGCTGCTCTTGTAGTGAATAAAGTTTTACACTCCCTGCTCTTAATTTTAAATATTAGTGAGTGTTATATTTTTCTCTCTGAGGGGAAAAGCTAAATTACTTCTTACTTGTATGTGGGCCTCAGCTACGGGGTGGGGGGTGGGGGAGTCTTCTTCTTCTGGGCTAGACATTTAGGAAGTAGATTTGTGTGTCTGAGGACTTAGTTCAGCATCAGAAAAGATAATGGGGGCAGGGGGTGCCAGCTAGAGGTAATACTGCCAAGTCCCAGACAGTAAAGGGCCATTAGGGCCCAGAGAAATGGCAGAGAGAAGTCGGAGAGGGGAGGAGGGACAGGAAAGGGACCCACATGCACTGAGCCAATCACTTCACATACATGATTTCAGTCGACTGACTCCTCACTCCCACCTAGAGAAGTAGGCACCATGTCCCTATTTTACAGATGAGGAAACTGGGGCTGGGAGAGGTGAAGTAACTTGCCCGCAGTCGTGTGGCTGGTTTGTGGCTGAGCTGGGACTCCGGCTCTGGCCTGCCTGGTTTCAAAGCCCACGTGCTCCTTCCTCGACACAGGGCTGTGTTGTCAGAAAGCCGGGTCCCGGGCAGGGGCTCACAGAGGGACTAAACACAGCCAGGCCAGGAGAGCCAGCAGGGCAGTGGACAGAGTAGCCAGGACTTGCCCAACACGCGGGGACTGGGGGGTCACCGGCCCCTGTGGAAGAGCCGAGGCCCTCCCTGCCCGGTTGGATGGCCTCTGTACTCATGCTCTGGGTGTGACGGGAGCCAGGGTGGCAGGGGATGTCTAGCGCCCGAGAGCCCACAGGAGGCCTCCTCTCCTCCCATCCACAGAAACCAGCCTGGACACCAAGTCCGTGTCGGAAGGCCATCTCAAGAGAAACATCGTGGTGAAGACTGTGGAGATGCGGGATGGAGAGGTGAGGACAGCAGCCCTGAGGTTCTGGCCCCGTCAGCTCTGGCTGCCTCAGGAATTCCTGAGGCCAGGCTCTGGAATGAAACCTGAACTGGCACTTCACAAGGGCTCTCCAGGGAGGCTCTGGAAGAGGGGAAGGAACCTGGATGTGGTTAGATTCCCCACCCCCTCCGCCGGCAGTTCTAAGGGGAGCCTGGGTGCCTAGGCCATGGGATGGTTCCTGACATGGGCTTTCTCCCTTTCTCACCCTAACTCAGGTACTCCCAGCGCCAGGCCTGGGGGAGAGGGAAAGAAAATTAAAGACGTTAGCAGTTTTCACTACCAGCTTTCCATTTCCAGCTTGGTTAAAGGAACCTTCCAGAGGAATGGGGAAAGGGGATTTGGCATAACCTACTCCCCATCACACCAACAATAGCTAATTTCACACCATCAGCTCACCATGTGCCTGGCCTGGTGCTAAATGATTTACAGGTGTGACCTCATCCCCCCCTCCGACTGCTGCGCGAGGGAGTTCTGGTTACCATCATAGAAAGCAAAGACCCAGGGAGTCTGGGGACTTGCCCACGGTCACACAGCCTGGCAGTGGTGGGCCCAGGGTCGGTGTGAGCACTGTGCACCTTCTCTGTCCCCGCAGGTCATTAAGGAGTCCAAGCAGGAGCACAAGGACGTGATGTGAGGCGGGAACCACCTCCTATCGGGAGGGGCCTGCAGCAGTAAACAGGATAGCGGCCCCTCCTCTGATCGCTCATTCCCCCAGACCCTAGTTCCCACCACCCCGTTGCAGCTGCTCCCTACGACGTCTCTATGCCAGCTTCTGTCCTAGGCTCCATCCGCAGTAGGCCCACCAGACAGCACCCACCCCACTCCCAGCAACTCCATCTAAAAGGGCACTCACCCCAAAGGGGCAGCCTGGAGGGGCAGGGCCAGAAGCTTGGGTTAGAATTGGGAGGGAAGAGAGGAGTTGGGGAGGGCCTAGAGACCTAATAAATCACTCTCCATAGCCTAATCCCTGTTGTCATGGCAACCGTTGTCAGAGCTGGCGGTCTCTGGGCTATCTGGGAAGTGGGCCTTGGAGTGTCCTCGGGCTGCTGGAGGAAAACCGAGACTCTGAGACAGGAAGGGGAAGTTCCCACAGGCAAGGTAGCCCTGGCCAGCGGCTCCTTCTTAACCTAGACCAAGCCTGGCCAGTCTGATAGTAGGCAGCGGTATCCTACCACCTGGCGTTCCCAGCAGACAGAACTCCTGGCCTGCCCAGAGGGAATGATGATTCAATGTTGATTCAAGTGTCTCAGCCTCACTGAGTGCCATGTGGGCAGTGGGAGCTTGGTTCTCAGCACTAGGGGATCTTAGTCTACGTAGAGAGGGCAGTGGTACTGGGAAGGAGTAGCGGGGGCTGCTCGGCCCCTAGGTGTCAGTTCATGGAGGTCAAGCCCAGGAGGACTTCCCCCATATAGGCTGGGGGAGGGAGGCAGGTAGAGGTGGAGGAGGGAGGAGGAGGATGCTAGGCATCAGAGTTGGGGTTGTGATGACCAACTCTATACTTGGCCTCTGGGTCGTGGGAATCAAGGAAGTGGTGCATCCTCTTGAAGATACTGAAATAAGAGAAAAAGGGGCTGCTGTCCACAGGGGCAGGGCACACTTTGTTCAGGTCTAGAGGCCCCTTCCTTGCTGCATCATCCCTGTCCACCCAAAGCCTCTGAGCCCCTGCAGCTGCTGCCTCCCAACCCAGCAAATACCGCTGGGTCAAGCCAACGCCATCCATCTGCCTGTCTGCGCCCCATAGTGACCTGATGCTTTTCCCTAAACTAAGGGCCCTGTGGTCCCCTCTTACTCAAATGCAAGATGTACCCAGTATTCTAGGTAGCACTCTATTTTATAATTCAGGAAATGGAGGCGCGAGCAGAGTGAAGACCCTGGTTTGGGTCCCTACGGCCTGGAGAGGGAGCACACACGTCCACCCGGAGCATCTACTCTGCTTTCCGCAGGAGGACTGTGGGGAGCGTGGGATTATCTGTGCCCAGACATGGGGCTGAGAGGACCCACCCCAGGGGCCCCCTTTTCCCTCTAAGGCAGCGGTTCTCAACCTGTGGGTCTCGACCCCTTTGGCGGTCGAACGACCCTTTCACAGGGGTCGCCTAAGACCATCCTGCATATCAGATATTGACATGACGATTCATAACAGTAGCAACATGACAGTTATGAAGTAGCAACGAAAATAATTTTATGGTTAGGTCACAACGTGAGGGACTGTATTGAAAGGGCCAGAAGGTTGAGAACCACTGCTAAGACTAATGGGAGAGAGAGATGGGAATCTCTTTCCAAGACTTGGTGCCCTTTCTCTGACTCCCTCCCGCCACCCACCGATGCCTTTAGTCACTGAGGTAAATAAAGCCAACTGCTGTGGCCGCCCTCCGAGTGGACTCTGATCTGTTCAGGAGAAGCTGGGGCCGGGGGAAGGGAGCAGCAAGTGACTTTGCACAAGACCCAGCGTGCTTCTTGTCACTGATCGTCTCCAGAGCTCAACACCCACCACAGCAGCAGCCACATGACAAATCCCACCTCCAACCCTGCTCTGCCAGAGCAGTCTGGTGCCCCCCATAGCCACCCCCCTTTGCTCCCAGCTCCTCTTCTCACCCCCAGTCTCCAGCATGGGTGCAGTCTCTCAGGAAAGCCCTGAATTTGACCTCCATTTTCCTCACCATTTCCCCTGTCCTAGTCTTTACCTTTATTCCCAAACCTGCCATTTCTACCAGCCGGTTCCAGGACAAGGCTGGGAGGAAGGCAGAGAGGACATATACGTGGCTCCCCCACTCTTTTCTTCCTTCCTCTCCATGATACCCCCAGTTTAACCAACACCCACTTGGCAGCCCTCAAAGGCAAGAAAAGAAAGCACCTCAAACCATGCTCCATACTGAATAGGCCATTTAATAAATATGAGGTTCCCTTCCTCCTCCTCTGACCTGATGAAGTCGGAAGACACGTGCACCTTGGCTACTTGCATCATAGCCTCCGTCCCCTGTCCCACCTGCCTCAGGCTTCTCCACTTCCCAGATCAGGCCCCAGACGTGCCCATGAAAACAGGGAGCAGGAAGTCACTCACAAACCTGTTCGCACTCCCTTGCCACACATCCCAGCCCAGGATGCCCACCCAGAAGCACCTGGAATCATTTGACAAACACATTGGAGCACAACTGGTCTTCGGAGAGGGTGGAGAGAGAACCTAGCGAGAGAAGCTGGGATAACAGCGAAACACGTAACAGCAGCAGCGACAAAGGTGGATGGTGACGAAGACTGCGGTGAGGAGCAGGTACCCGATCAGGGTGAGTTCCAAGGCGGAGCGGACCTCGGGGTCCGAGAGGGAGACCTTGTAGCGCCCTTGAGATGCCACGCCCAGTCGGAACCCAGCGACCCGCTCGCCCTGCCGCCAGCAATAGTAGATGCCCCTGTCGTCCAGCTGAGTGAAGCGGATGTGGAGATGGTTGCCATGGTCGATGAAGACCCTCATGGACCTATTGGTGCCCTGCAAGTACTGCGTGCGGTACAAGTGCTGGCGGTCCTTGTCCCAGGCCACAGCGTGCTCTGGCCGGGCCCCAGGACAGGAGATGATGAGCCCGTGACTCAGCCTCTGCTGGTGGTACTGGATGGGCACCTGGGGCAGCCAGGGCCGTCTGCCCACTTTGGACACGTAGTTTAAAACGGCCATCAGCCTCCCCCGGATCTTCGTTGTGTTCTTGCAGGGCACCAGGCAGCTCTGGACCAGCAGCTCGGGTGTGTGGTCCCTGGCCTGGGCCTGAAGCTTCCTGGGCACAGCCCGTGAACCGCAGGACACCACGTCTGGCATTGTCTTGCGGTAGCGTGGGGAGAGGTCTGGGCTCTGCAGATAGCAGAGGCCGATGCGCCACTGCTCCCCGCGGACCCCGCAGCGGTCACAGGGGGTCCACTCCCAGAAGGTGGTGAAGACATGGAGGCTCCCACGGTAGTCGTCTGCAAAGGGCTCCTGGCCCAGGTCCTTGAAGGTGGCCACCATCCCCTCGCTGCTCTGGATGTCCACATCATAGGCATAGAAGTAGTCCCCCTTGCGGGTGCCACAGAAATACAAGCCCGAGTCCCCGGGCTGGGCACGGAAGACCACCAGGCTGAACATGCGGATGCTGAAGCGGACCAGCAGGTCACTGCCCACGCGTACCTGGGATGCTGCCGTCAGCATCTGCCCATCGAAGTCCGTCAGCACTTTGGTGTGGCTGCTACCAAGGCGCTCCTGGTAGTACCAGACCACAGCAGACACCTCCTCGGGCTTACAGTGGCAGGGCAGCTCGAAGCTCATGTCGGCCAGGTAGGCTGCATTATCAAACATTAGGAAAGCAGGGCAGGGGGTCCTCTGAAAAATGTTCTCCTTCTCCACGATTTCAAAGGCCCGGAGACTCCCCCCTGCCCACAGGAGCACAATGATGTGGGGCAGGTTCATGCCTGAAGGAGGGGAGGGTCGGAGGGGGGAAACCAGGGCACCACAGGCCTATGAGGCTGCTAGAATTCACCGCTGGAGGAAAGGATGGAGCAGCCAAGAAAAGAAGCAACCAACTGCAGGGGAAGCGGCCAAAGGCAAGGCCATTTATTCCCAGCCGGTGTATAGGAGGCCCTTCTCATGTGGCCAGATGCCCTTCCAATGTGATCTCGAGGAAGAACCATTCTAGAACCTGGCCCTTTCTCCCCTTTCTAGAACACTGGCCCTCACCCAAGAATGGGTCAGGAGAAACTGGAATGAGAAGCAAGGCTGGGAGCCAGACAGGGAAATCTCGGCCTCCCTGCTCCAGGCCTTGCCCTGGTGACTGGTGGAAAGGTCTTCCCTCTGCACAGGACCTCAGTCCCTGGGGAAAAATACATCTCAAATGAGGTAGCATTTGACCATTTGCTGATTAAACGTCCGTTCATTGGTTTTACGTTATGAATATTCTTGTTAAAAGCTATGGAGATCAGTATTGGTTTATTACGGAAGATTAATGATTTTCCTTCTTCCCTTTTTTGGGTAGAGGCCTTCCGAGTGTAGCCAGCATTTGGTGGGCTGTGGGCCACAGCCGTGACAGACTCAGAGGGTGGGAAGCAAAGCTCTTTTAACTTTCTGGGCCCTTGACCATCCTATGGATCTACACAGTTCAGAGTATCAGGCCACAGAGGGGCTGGAGAAGAGGGGAAGATTAGATTCTAGCTTTTGCTCTGAAGATCTCAAATTGAGAAGGGACGTCGGTATGGGCTTCTTAATACAGTTCTGCGGAGCCCCCAAGGTAACCAAAACATGCTGCCAGTGACCACTGGGGGCCTCGGAAGATAACTGGCCCCATCAATCCACTTGGTACAACCCTAGCAGTTCTTGTAGGAGACTTTCCTCCTCCTGGAGCCCACCAGGCTGCTCCTCCAGACCCTGCTCCTCCTGGCTGAGCCCCTCCTTCATGGGTCTAGGGGTGCCCATGGGCTGCAGCTTCTGAAACAAGCTTCTGCAGCTCTCTCTCTCTGCGTGGCTCATCAGGCTCAGGTTCAGGGCAAAGCGCCCGGTACTGGCCAGGCCGCGCAAGATCCCCAGGACCACCAGCCGGTCAGCCGGCCTCACATGATCAGCCAGTGTCATCAGCAGCTCCCCCAGGAGTCCGAACCCCACGTCCGTCTGGAAGAGGTGGCCCAGCTTGGGACCTCCGAGCTGCAGCAGGGCCTGGTAGCGCTCTGGCCCACTCCGCAAGTACCGCCGCCAATCACGGTAGAACTCCGCTGAGGTCTTGGGCTGCAGGAGTGTTTTCTCCTGGATGGCAGAAGAAGAAAAGGGAACCCAGAGCTTTCCCAGCTGCTCTGTGACAGGGAGAGTGAGGGAGCCTGTGGGTTTTCAGCTGAACTCTGCTACTGCTCTCTCAGCACTGGAAAGCCTGTGGTCCATGGCGGCCGCCTTTTCAGACGAGGGAGGGTCTCAAAGAACCCAGGCCTGGTTTGAGATTTTCAGCTGTACCAGGATATTCCTACTGAGGAATGTGAGAGTAGGGGTTTTTACTCTGAGCAGAGCAGAGGGGACGACTGAAAACCTCAGGAAGAGAGAAAGAACTCAAGGGGAGTGTTAAGGATCTGTCAGGCTAAGTCTCCCTTCCAACACTGCCATAGGATTGTTATACTACACACCAGGGGTCCTCAAACTACGGCCCGCGGGCCACATGCAAATACAAATATTGTATTTGTTCCCGTTTTGTTTTTTTACTTCAAAATAAGATATGTGCAGTGTGCATAGGAATTTGTTCATAGTTTTTTTTTAAACTACAGTCCGGCCCTCCAACAGTCTGAGGGACAGTGAACTGGCCCCCTGTTTAAAAACTTTGAGGACCCCTGCTCTACACCGTATAACCCAGAGCAACCCCAACCTGGCCTGTGAATGCAGGTTAAAGGACAGAGACCTGCCTAGCTCAACTTTCTGATTTGTTCTGCCCAATTTAACTCCCCTCACCATCCGATGGTTGTTCTTTCTGGGATCATCTGTTGGCTTAACAGGAGAAACAAGGAGAAGGTATGTGTTGTAAGAAGACACGACTGGAGCTTTACAGCAGAGAAGCCTGCTGGGCCTCACCTACCGGGGAGATCTCAGTGGTTTCGTCCGGAGAGGTCCTTCTTGGAGTAGAGTGACAGTTCCAGGGCACAGTCCTCTTTCCTCCTATCTTGTCCTTCCGCTCCAGTGGCTTGAGATGTGATGCAAGGACAATACCCCTGCAGGCAAAGGACAGAGATGAAGGGATAGACCTGATGATGTCTGTGGGCATGAGAGGGCTGGACTTTGCATGATAGAGGCTGAACCTGTTGGCAAGTCAATCTGACAACAGTAACAATAACAACAGCAGCAACAACAGCTGACCGCTTTTAGGTACTTCCCACGTCCCAGACATTCTGCTCAAAAATCTTACAGGTAATAACTCGTTTGATCATAGTAATGGTTATTCTCTCTTACGGATGAGGAATAGAGGCTCACAGAGGTGAAATGACTTGCACAAAAGGACACAGGTAGCAGAGGACAGGACCAGGACTAAGCCCAGAATTGTCTGACTCCAAAGCACGTGCTCTTCTCCACTACAGTCCACCATACCAGGGGGGCCTGAGAAAAATGACACTGAGCCAACCTGAACTCCTCATAGGAAGCCACCCTCTGCTCCACGGCCCGAAACTTGGCAGCATTCTCCCTCTGGTACTTCTCATCAGCAGTAACGGCAGCCTGCAACTCTTTCTCCAAAGCCTTGAAGTCAATGATGTCATTCCTTTCCATGGCCTGTGCCTGGGAAGGAACAGAGAATGGACATCACTGGAAGGTCAGTAACAGGGGAAGGGACGTGGATTCTTCGCTGGCCCACAAAATGACCCAAAAGCACTCCGGATGTCTTGTCACTTATATTGAGGGGTTTACAAAATCTAGTTCTCTACTTTATAGAGTTACACAGTGAGGGCGTGCTTAAGATTTGTGGTCACTGATAAGAGAATGACTTTCAGTGTGGAGCCGTATCTTAATTTCGTATTCTGCCTCTAAGAATTGGCGCTTTCAGTGAGGAAGCCTATGGATCTCAGAATTCAGTCCCTTCACTCTTCCACATAGCGAGTGGCTGGGATTGAGGAGAACCTCACACAAAAGCAGAGCTATGGTTAGCTACTCTTGAGCCCAGGGATAAAATTTCATCCATCATTAAATGTCTTTAATGAGAAAGAATACTTTTCACCCAAACCAAATGCAATGACTGAGCAGGAAATCAAGTAGAAGGGGCTTATATGATCCCTGTCCCAAATTCCTCCGTCCAGCCCAGGGCTGGAGGACTAGGTACTGGGAAGACCTCTTTAGTTCTGCCACTGTACTTCTGTAGCCTCCGCGTAGGAGGCCGATTGGCCTGTTCTAAGGGAGATCACCTATGTGGGTTCTAGTTTTGGCTCTTTCTTTACCTTGCTATGAGACCTCATTGAGCCTCAGATTTCTGGTGCATTGAGCAAGATGTTATGACTGAGTCATCACCAACAGCCCTAGGGCAGGGTGGCGGAATGTCTGCAACCAAGCCTAGAGCCCTCCCTCTCCACCCCAACCAAGAAGGGGGCTGGACTGGCCAGGAATTGAACTCAGATGTTCTGGCTCCTGTCCAGTTCTGAGCCCTACCCGGTAGTTGAATAAACAGAACTAACCCTCCTGCCCTCCTGACTGTCACCCCAGCAGCCCTCGCCTTGGTTCCCTTGCTTTCTCTGGGGACGCTGAGATACTCCGGAACAGAACAGCTCAGTGCAGACCCGGCACAGCCGCTGTGGTTGCCTAGCAACTGCTCCCACAGCCTGCCCACGTGATCGGCTCGAAGGCCCCCTTTCAGTGTGGTCCCGAAGCGCCTGATCAGATTCAGGCCCCTTCAGGCCCCACTCTGTTTAGAGTAGCCCACGCCTCAGTTTTGGGGGCCTACAGCTCCAGCTCTCCCGTTCCTGTGTCCGCGGACGCCTTTCCTCCGAGCTAGTGCTCAGGCAGAGGGCTGTCCGCGGCAGAAACGCGACCGCGGCGTCTGCGGGGTCCTTCGGGGCAGCAGGCGCAGGCAGCGGCGCGGCGTGGGCCGGAAGCGCGGGCTCCGTTGGGCTCCTCGGAGGCTTTGGCTGAGCCGGAGGGAGGTGAGTTGACACGCCACCGGGTGGGAAAGTTGCTCCGGGTGGGAAGGGAGACTGTCGTCAGATCTGGGAGGGAGTTTATATGCTATCGCCTCTTTTACTTTACAGATGGGTAAACGGGGTGTGGAACGGGAAAGGAATGAAAGCCCCCCCCCCCCTTTCCCTAGGCAGGAGTCATTCTCTCACCGTTCAGCCCCCTCTCCGGCTCCATCTGTGCCGTCTTCACTCCTGTGCCAAACTCGCTCCGAGCTTATTCTGTGTTCCTTTGCGAGCCTGCATTATAGCGGGAAGCTGCAGTGAGGTTTGATGCCTGAAGTTACCAGTTTTGTGCAACTGTAGGCAAGCCAGCTATCTTGTCTGTGCCTTGCTGGAGTCATTCATTCATTCAGCAAATTCTTATTGAGGCCCTGTATTGTGCCAGGCACTACGTGAAATGGAGTCCTCGCTTAAGTTGTAGTTGGGGAGACGACAGTGAACACATGTATAGATAGATAGATTTCAGCTAGTGGGAAGTGTTAATAAGAATAAAACCGTGTGTATGGGGGACTTTTATAGAGTGGCAATTGAAGGTTTCGCAGAAAACGTGACATTTTCATAGAGACAGTGAAATGAAGGAACAAGGTATAAATATCCAAAGGAAGAGCATTTCAGAGGAGAATAGCAAGTACCATGGCCCTGGAGAAGAAATTAGCTTGGTTTGTCACGTGAATGTCCTTATCTAAACATTTCTGCTGTAACTTCATGGATTTGGAAGAATGAAATTGGCATAGATGTGATAGCTCTTTGGAAGTGTAAAGAATCTCTATGCATATTTAAAGTTATTTTAATAGTTTATATTAGTTACTGGTACTTGGGGCTCTTCTCTATTTTGCCTACAATCAACACTCTCAACAGGATGCATTAGGGATTAACCTATTGCAAGAAATAACAGTATCTCAAAATTTAACATTCCATTTACTTAATATTTAACAGTGCCTACTTAGGCATTGTCAGGTAGGCACAAAGAACACAGGGTTCCTGGATTTAAGAATAGCCAAAAATGCCCGGCCAGCATGGCTCAATGGTTGAGTGTCAACCTATGAACCAGGAGGTCACGGTTCAATTCCTAATCAGGACACATGCCTGGGTTGCGGGGTCAATCCCCAGTAGGGGTGTGCAGGAGGCAGCCAATCAATGACTCTCTCTCATCATTGATGTTTCTATCTCTCTCCCTCTCCCTTTCTGAAATCAATAAAAACATCTTAAAAACAACAACACAGCATTACATCTGTGATGTTCCTGCTAGAAATGCATAACCTTAATCTAATCATTAGGAAACATCAGGCAAACCCAAGTTAAGGGACATTCTCCAAACTTACTATCCTGTAATCTTCAAAAGTGTTAAGTCATAAAAGTCAAAGAAAGACAGGAACTGTTCCCGAGCAAGACTAAAGACATGACTGCTAAATGCAAACATGCAATACTAGGTTGGATCCTTTGCTGTGCAGGGCATTATTAGAACAGTTTGTGAACGTTTGAGGGTCTGTGAATTAGGTGATAATAATGTGTCTGATTTTGATGGTTGTATTTGTTTTGTTCTGTTTTTGTTAATTCTCACTTGGGGATATTTTTTCCATTGATCTTTAGAGCAGTGGAAGGAAGAGAGGGAAGGCGAAAAAGAGAGAAACATTGATGTGAGAGAGATACTTGATTGGTTGCTTCCCGCATGGAGATTAAACCTGCAACCAAGGTGCATGCCCTTGACCTGGAATCGAACCTGAGACCCTTCAGTGCAAAGGCCGACACTCAAACCGCCAGGGAATGTTCTAGTTTGTAGGAATCACACACACGACAGCAGTCGTTGGCAAACCTTTTCTGTAGTAAATATTTTAGGCTTTCTGGGCCACATGGGCTCAGTTGGAGCTACTTAGCTCTGCTGTTACAGTGTGAAAGCGGCTATAGACAATATAAATGATTGTGCATGGCTGTGTTCCAATAAAGCTGTTTTTATAGGCATTGAAATTTGAATTTCATTAATTTTCACATATGAAATATTATTCTTTTGATTTTTCAACTATTTAAAAATGTAAAATTCTTGCCTTAGCTGGCTTGGCTCAGTGGATAGAGCGTCAGCCTGCGGACTGAAGGGTCCCAGGTTCGATTCCAGCCAAGGGCACATGCCTGGGTTGCGGGCTCAGTCCCCAGTAGGGGGTGTGCAGGAAGCAGCCGATCAATGATTCTTTCTCATCATTGATGTTTCTGTCTCTCTCTCCTTCTCCCTTCCTCTCTGAAATCAATAAAGAAATATAATTTGGCCACAGGCCATAATGTGTCAACTCCTACAGTTAACTTTTAAGTGGTGATGAGGCATTGTGTCAGCAACTTATCCTATCCTATCCTATATAAGAAAAGCTCAGCAACCTAACCACAGAACCAATGGTCAACCAGACGCTATGACGTGCACTGACCACCAGGGGGCAGACGCTCAACACAGGAGCTGCCCCCTTGTAATCAGTGTGCTCCCACAATGGGAGCGCCACTGGGCTGACCGGGGTGAGTGGTGCTCCCACTGCAGGAGCAGCCGCTCAGAGGGTGGGTCCACAGACCCCAGCTAACCGGTAGGAGCCGCACTCCCATAGCAGGCAGATCCCCGCAGGCCACGTCCCCACCAGTGCACGAATCCCATGCACCAGGCCTCTAGTTCTCAAATAATTCAGGAAAAAGAAAGTTATTTATATTAGTTTTGAAGCCTTCTGGTATTATTTTTTTTAATTAGTATTAAAAGAAGAAGAAGAGTATGTAAACAGACAATGAGTTGGTGTGATTGGAAAGGAAATGTGTGAAGGGATATGGTCAACTATAAGCTTAGACATATAAAATTTATAAATTTGCATGTGGGGCCATGTTGTGGAGGCCTTGATTACCTTGTCTGAATCTAACTCCTCTTCTTGAATTTTAGCATCATGGATACTGACTTGTATGATGAGTTTGGGAATTATATTGGACCAGAGCTAGATTCTGATGAAGATGATGATGAATTGGGCAGAGAGACCAAAGATCTTGATGAGGTAAGACAAATATATTGCTTTTTTCTTCTCTCTCTTTTTAAAAACAAAAACACAAAACAAAGTACTGAATCCTCTGTGCTCCCATAATATACCATGGTACATTATAATATACCCTCCTGGGGTCTCCTAGTGCCCTAAGAAAACTTAGCTACTAAAATTCCAAAAGAAAATATAAAGTAGTCACCTTTTCCAAGTGCAGCTGCACTGGGAACTCCCTCGGAAGCTCAGGTTTTGAAAGAGGAATAAAAGCAGGAGAAAGAGAGGGTGCAGATTCCTATGACTCCCCTTCAGGAGAGCTATGGAGGATGAAGTCCAGAGTGGTCTGAGACCTGCAAAGACACTGAAGATGCTTTTATGTTTCAGCAATGTTCAAAACCAGAAGTAGGTAGGGACAATGAGTTGGTGTGATTGGAAAGGAAATGTGTGAAGGGATATGGTCAACTATAAGCTTAGACATATAAAATTTATAAATTTGCATGTGGGGCCATGTTGTGGAGGCCTTGATTACCTTGTCTGAATCTAACTCCTCTTCTTGAATTTTAGCATCATGGATACTGACTTGTATGATGAGTTTGGGAATTATATTGGACCAGAGCTAGATTCTGATGAAGATGATGATGAATTGGGAAGAGAAACCAAAGATCTTGATGAGGTAAGACAAATATATTGCTTTTTTCTTCTCTCTTTTTTTTTAAAAAAAACCCACACAAAACAATAAAGTACTGAATCCTCTGTGCTCCCATAATATACCTTAGTACATTATAATATGACCTACTGGGGTCTCATAGTGCCCTAAGAAAACTTAGCTACTGAAGTTCCAAAAGAAAATATAAGGTAGCCACCTTTTCCAAGTGCAGCTGCACTGGGAACTCCCTCGGAAGCTCAGGTTTTGAAAGAGGAATAAAAGCAGGAGAAAGAGAGGGTGCAGATTCCTATGACTCCCCTTCAGGAGAGCTATGGAGGATGAAGTCCAGAGTGGTCTGAGACCTGCAAAGACACTGAAGATGCTTTTATGTTTCAGCAATGTTCAAAACCAGAAGTAGGTAGACCCACTGCTCATCAGTGGAGGTGTGACATTAATAAAACAGCAGAGAACCAGAATCACAGTCCTGGCTGCCATCTGTACTCTCCGTCAGGAAAAATGTCCTTCAAACTAGAAACAATAGGAAAAACACTGGGAAAAGAAAATTAAAGCCATATATGTGAGGCGAAAGAGACCATCTTGGGGCCTTAGCTGTGTTCGAGTCTCCAAGTCCAGATGCATTAGGCCCTGGATGGGGGAGACCTTGTAGAGGTAAGCTGAGAGCCACTGTGGTCACCTATAAGAAACAGGACTGGCTGTGGTGCTAGAAAGTGAGTCAGGCAACTCATCCTGCTTTTCAGAGATGGAGATAAGGCACTGCATTTCAGAAACTACAGGCTAGAAGAGTGCTCTGCATGCGTGGTAAAATTACGGAAGGAGTTTTAAAACAGATGACTTTAAACACTTAGAAAGCTTGTGTGAGTTTTATAAAATTTCCTCGTGATACAATTACTAGATTGAGATATAGATCAGGTATATGCTGTGGATACTATATATCTTGATTTGAGCAAGGCACCTGATATATTATTTTTCTTATAAATCAGTTATTTTCTTCTTAAAAATATTACGTCAGCCTGGCCAGAGTGGCTCAGTGGTTGAGTGTAGACACATGAATGAAAAGGTTGCTGGTTTGATTCCTGGGGTCAGGGCACATGCCCAGGTTGCGTGTTTGATCCCCAGTAGGGGGTGTGCAGGAGGCAGCCAATCAATGATTTTCTAAAGATATATTTAAGAATATTATTTCCCTGTGAAAGGATTGTTAGACCGCCAAAGAGGTCGCGACCCACAGGTTGAGAACCGCTGTTTTAAAAAGATATTATATACGTAATTAATGAACACATTCTCATTCAAACAAAATAGAAAGTATATTTTGATTCTTATTCCATTTCACTCCCCTTCCCAAAGTAACCACTGTAACTCATGACATCCTTGTGGAAAGTATAGGGCAGTGATGGCAAACCTATGACACGCGTGTCAGAGGTGACACGCGAACTCATTTTTTTGGTTGATTTTTCTTTGTTAAATGACATTTAAATATATAAAATAAATATCAAAAATATAAGTCTTTGTTTTACTATGGTTGCAAATATCAAAAAATTTCTATATGTGACACGGCACCAGAGATAAGTTAGGGTTTTTCCAAATGTTGACACGCCGAGCTCAAAGGTTCGTCATCACTGGTATAGGGGCTGGGTCATAACAGGAGATAAGGTCACAGCCATTGAATAATTGGATGGAAAGAGTTTTGATTATGAGTCACTGCCAGAGCTCTTATGACATGCCCCGGGCATCTGTGCTTGGGCCCATCCTTTTCAACCTTTTTCTCAATGACTTAGGTAAAGATAAAGTAGTTTATAAAATTTGGACATCACATAAGCTAATATATTGGATAACAGAATCTAAATTCAAAATGATCCCAACAAACTTGAATTGCAGGCTAAATAAAGCCCAAGAAATCATTCATTAAGAATTTATAGAGCACTTATTATTTGCAAGGAATCATGAGACAGGGAGAGCCAAGGCATTATCTCTGCCCTCCAGGAACATATGCTTGCCAGGGGAGATGAAGCACATACAAAAGTGTTTTTAATATGAGACAGGGCCGTTTAAGACATATTAACTTATATCCATGGTAATAGGATAAAAGGAGAGATTACTCCTCGTGGGATGACCAAGAAAAATATCGGAGGAAATCACATTCAAAGTGAAGCCAAATAAAGGGTTGGCATCTCTAGAGACAGGAACTAGAATGATTAATGATTGTCTAGGTTGGGGCATGGAATTGGGTAGTGATGGCTGAATGATCTAAAATTGATTGCAGTGATGATTGCACAACTCTGAGTATACTAAAAAACCATTAAAATTGGTGAGTTGAGAGAAATGTGAATTTTATCCCACTAAAGCTGTTAAGAGCAACAAAACCATATAGTTAAGCTGTGTGTGAATGTTCTGGTCAAGGTCACCAGTGACCTCCGTTCTGGATCCAGTCCTCATCTTACTAGGCCTTTCTGTGGCATCTGACTAGCCCAGCTGATCACTTCCTCTTCCCTTGGCTCCCACGGAATCCCAGGTTTTCCTCCTCTTCGCTGGCTGGCCCCTCTCAGTCTTCGCCGCTGGTTTCTCCTCATCTCCCTGACATGTAACCATCAACAGGTCCCAGGGCTCCATTCCTGATACCTTTTCTCGGTCTATACTCAGTCCCCTGGTGATCTCATCCAGTCTGTCAAACACTTTCTATTCACGGAGGACTCTCAAATTTATATCTCCAACCTGGACCTTTCTCTTGAACCTCAGCTTTGTACGTATAACTGCCTTCTTGGCTTCTCTACTTGATGTCTAATAGGACAGCAGTTGCCAACCGGTGGTCTGTGGACCACTGGTGATCCGTGAGTCCGAAAGATTGGCGACCACTGTAATAGGGCATCTCAAACTTAGCAGATCTAAGACCTAAATACTGAGTATCCCCACCCCCCACCATTAGAATGCACTTTTTTTTTTTTTAATCTATTCCACCTCCCTGCTCCAACATCCCATGTAATATATTTATTGTCCTCGGGTAGAGAGGCTGTAAGAGGCAGATATTAAACTGACAGGAACAGACATTGTGCTTGAACATACCCAAAAGGCCAAGAAGTGATTAGAATACACTTTTGACTCTACCTTCAGAACATGTCCAGATTCAACCTCCCCTCCCTACCTTTTAACCTCCCTCCTTCCAGTATATTCTCAGAATGGAAACCAGTGATTCTTTTTAAAACAAAAGTCTGATCATATTATTCCTCTGCTCAGAACCACTGGAGCCAGCTTTGTAGGATATGTAGCAGTATCCCTGGTCTCTGCCCACTAGATCCCACACACCCAGTATAACAGCCAAATACATCTTCAGATGTTACTAAATTGCCCCTGGTTGAAAACCATTGTCCTTGTATTTGGTTTCTTTAACTTAGTATAATGTTTTGAAGATTTATCAATGTTGGGGCATGTATAAGTATTTATTTTTATTGCCAAATACTATTCCATTATGTGGATAGACCACATTTAATTGACATTTGGGTTATTTTCACTTTTTGACTGTTATGAACAATGCTGCTCTGAGCATTTGTTTATATGTTTTTGTGTGAACATAAGTTTTCATTTGTACCTAGGAATGAAATTGTTGGGT